GAGGAAACGTGTCTTTCTCGTATTCCTTCCGTGGGTCTGGTGTATCCAGAATCGATTGTGATTTGTGGGCCCTGTGCCCAAAGTGCCCTGCCATGGAACACAACGTCCCTGATTTGCAGGAAGCTCTGGCCGGCATCCCTGGATCTGCTCTGCAGAACGACCCCTCCTGGAAAAGACCTCTTCTCCTCCCTGCTTGCTTTTAGCTTTACTCTTAAAGAATGCTTTACTGTATTTTGGTGGCTGCTCTAGGACCAACAACAATTTACACCTTACACTTGACACTATGACCGACTCATAAAGCATTTAGGGTCCCATCTGTCTCCCACTAAAAAAAATTTTTTTTTAATTAAGCTAGGTTTTTATTAGTTTTTCTTGGTTACCCAGTAGTAATAACACTTGTCAAATCTATACTGTATACATGTTCATGTGCTAAAAGATTTATTTTGTATTGGCTTTTGAGTTTGTCGTAATTTCATTTTAATGTGACATGAATACCATGTCTTTAAACTTACTCAGGCCATCATGTGTTTGTTTGTTTCCCCAGAAACATTGGCCATGATGGCCGATATGTATTCCTAGAGAGAAGCTCTTAGTTATTCTATGTTCATCAAGAATAAACACCTTATCAAGTACTTTCATAGAGAATTGTGTCGGATACAAAATCTTTGTTAGAGTCCAGTACCAATGAGATGGGACTTTATTATGTAACTTAGTGTGTATTCCATGCACTTCACAAATAGCTGTAAACTGGGCCGTAGGTGCCAAAACACTGCCATCAATTGAATCCCAACTCCCATCGACCTTATAGGACAGAGTAGAACACCTAATCTTTCTCCCAACAAAAAGTTACAGCGAATATGGGGAATCAAACTTATCACTTACTCCCTTGAAAGTAGTTACCCTTCCTTGTCTCTAGCACACTTCTCCCAAACTCAGGTCTTCTCTTGGCCTTGATCTTCCAAACCAGGTTGAAGGTATTAAAATTTGTTTGCCCTCAGAGTCAAAGGTTCTGCCTCCTTACAGCCAGTTGAGACTTGTATTAAAATACTTTACTCAAGTCATGGCATCCTTCTCAACATTGACCTCAGCAGTGGAAGCATGTTCTTTTTGTCTCTGAACCAAGCTGAGAATTTCTCTGCTGAAATGATACAAAGGTGGCTCTTGGGTACAGGGCTGCCTTTTGGTGGAAAACACATGAGGAAATGAGTGTTGGAGTATTTATAGCTTTTTCATACAGGGAGGAATGATTTCAGCAGGATGGGAAGTATTTAAAGTCATTAAGAGAGAATTTCCCTGAGCTAAAAAGATTAATGAATCAGTAATTGTTCCAGGTTTTCTAAACCTTGCAACTGAAGTCTGAGAAATATTTAAAATAAGCATACATTCTGCTTCCATTAAATAAAATTAAAATCACACAAATTAGACACAAAAATTGTATACACGCTCATTGAGTTAGTTTATTGTGCCAACACGTGGGGTTAATTGAAGGGTGGAGAGATAAATGGCTCTGTGAGCCTCGCCTTTTGAGTTCTCTGGTCTCTTGCTTTGTGATGGTCGGACCATGTTCAGCTGCCTTAGCAGTTCCCTGCTTCAGCTGGCAAGGCTCACTTCCTGCAAGACATCCCTGAGGAGAAGCCACATGGACCTACCCTGATGTAGCCCTGGATGCTAGAGCACCCGTGTGGAGACCCCTGCCAGCACTGACATGTGTACATGTTCACTGACTTGGCTTTCCTCTTGCAGTCGGCATCATTGAGTCTGCTTTGTGAGATGAAGGAGGACTTTGTGGATTTGGTGTTGGACATATGGGCTAATGGGTGAATATTGGACTTGTGGTCTTAGGCAGCACTGGGTTGGGATGTTTTCTTGATGCACAGTTAACCTTTATATAAAACACTTTCTTTTACATGAGTTTCTGTGAATTTGTTTCTCTAAAGTACCCAGACTAATACACTCATCTTTT